TTTTTATAGCATGTGGCTATGATTAATGTATTTCGTTTAGTGTTGTAACGATTATACATTTTTTTTTAGTGATTTACTAAGATGGAGATTTTTTATTAAATGTGTTTATTAGATATGAGTTCTTATAGTGTATGACTGGTGGGGTCATGTGTTAGGCGATGGCTGGGAAATAGAGGTTTTATGTGAGTTAGAACCTGTCTATTTCCTAGGGGATTCTGGGAAAAGAAGGTTTTATGCAAGTTAGAACTTGTCTTTTTCCAGGGACTCTGGGAGGAAACACTCTAGTGATTGGGTTGTTTCGGATGACCTAGTGATTGGTCATGGATGTGATGACATTCCAGGTAAGGGGATGTCATGAGGACCACGAGAAGTGATTCTGGTCGACAGGTAATTATGAGGCACGTTACAGAAGGTGCACCAGAGAACAAGTGAGGTTTCCTGCGTATACTTGAGGGGAAAGGTGAGGTTTTCTCCATGGGAAAAGTGAGGTTTCCTGCATATATCTCGAGCGGACATGTGAGATTCTCTCCAGGGGACAAGTAAGGTCTCCTGCATGCCGATAGCTTGACGGACTGTGTGTCCCGAGAGTGGAAGAGGCATGGAGCATACCGATAGATTGATGGACGGCGGTCCTGAAGGTGGGAGGGGTATGTTATACACCGTGATCTTCAGGGTGACGACCTTGGGAGTGTTAGGGGTGTATATGTATATAGGTATGAGCATGAGACTGGATGAGCTTCGGGGATCGGGAAGGATCTCAGGTGGTGCTGGCCGGGAAGGGTCAGGAGTGTTGATGTGGATGTAGCGTCTAGTTTAGGGTTTTTATTTACGTTTGGAACCTCGGTTCAGACGAACCTGGTAAACTTATGTAGCGTCCTGGTCGTGCATGTTCTTGTTTGATTGTTGCGTGATCAATTGGTCTAATGCGGGGTCTACGGTTGGTCGGACATGTTCTTGTTTGATTGTTGTGCGATCAATCGGGCAGACCTAGTCCGGACCAGAAAACATTGCATTCTGGGTGTTTTTTAGGCCAAGCTGGTCGGGTTTTGGACAGGAGTGTTAACCTTAGCATCGACGGTGTTGCGGGATTCAAGGTCGAATCCGTGTTAGTGCGGGAGAATTGTAACGCCTGTGAACCAAAATATTTATTTTTGGTTAGTTC